GTCTTAGGTGAAAAAGCTGTTCAGAATATTGTACGCTTACAACGAATCTAGATGTGATTTTTATGGGTTTTTAGGGTCGCCGAGTCCGAATACGAGGTCAGTTTGTCCGCATCAGGTCATCTGAAGGGCACTTCAGGTAATTTCAAATCGACTAGATCCTTTCGGAAGTTTTTGGGATTGCCGAGTCCGAATCTGAGGTTAGTGTGTCCGTGTCTGGTCAATCGGAGGTCACATAACTATGGCCTTGACATGAGTTCGAATAACGTTTAAATGACCTAATACCGACATACTGATTCGTACTCTGTGACCTCAGAAACCTTCGAAAGGATCTAGTCGATCTGATTTCCCGACATTTTCTCAATTTGTTCTTCAAACGAGCTCGAAATGCCCTTTAAGTGAGTTGATACGGACCAAGTGGCCTCAGATCCGGATTCATCGATACCAAAGTCTATGTACTAGTTTAGTAGACTTGATTTTCCGGAATTTTCTCAATTTGAATCTGATATGACCTTGAAACGCGTTTGAAGTGATCTGATACAGACAAATCGATGTCAAATTCGGTATCAGCCACCCTAAAAATCACAACATACTGAATGACATTTTCGAAATTTCAATGACCTTGAAATGACCTTCACCCTGGTCAGATGTATATATGTATGTATATGTACAAGTACCGTTTGTAGCTAAATCCATTAGTTATTTTATATATAAGTACGTAAAAAAACTTGGATATTCTGCTTTTGGTCAAAATTGTGGGCGAAAATCCCATCGATGAAAGCTCGAGTCCTAATAAATCGGTTACGTAGATTCTGAATCTAACGTTATTTTGTTGCTGGGATCAACAGATGGCCCCAGGTGGCTAATCTTTTACGACAAATTGGGCTCTACGACAGTTTAGAATTCCTTTATGTTCATTTTCGAATTCAGCATCCCAAATTACCCAATTAAAGCGAATTTCGTTCGCATGCAAGGTTTTTTCGTACAGTGGTCGGTGACTTGTTGGTGACTGTGTCCGGGATCCGGTCGTGCGAATTTCGTCTAAATGACGTAGCAGAATGAACGGAATTTGTCTAGCGGGATCTTGGACACGATCACTGACAGGTCGGTGACAGCTGTACGAAGGGCTTTAAACAGCGATAACGAAAATGGATTTTCAGCAACTTAAATTCGCACCCGGTACCGAAAAGTAAGAAAGGAGTGTACCTATATAAAGGCACTTTGCGCTAGCGGTAACGTACGATGTGTTAGCGTAAGGATGGCAATTTGTTAGAAAACATCGTCAAACATCGCCATCGTAACATCGATGGAGCTCGATACATCGGAACAAATACATCGACACATCGATGTATCGAAGCAACTCTTCTTTTTAACGTTTTCTGGTTTCAATTCAGCAACGAATTCGTCGATTGCTATCGGTTTTAGCGGAATGATCATTTTATCCGTTGGTGGAATTCCCACCGCGTTTTTTCCTCGATTTCAGAACCATTAAGTAAGAATAAAAAAAAAGTATGATTATAGGAAACTGCAAGATATGAGATTGTCAAAATTAAAAACACATTGATCGTCATTAAATATTTTACACTGTGCACAAGTTGAAGAGTGTTTTTTAAAGTACTTCCACACATCACTTTTTCGTGACATTTCGATTAATTAACAATAAAACATCGATACTACAACTACATACAATAAAATAATCAAAAGAACTTGAAATCATTAAATGCGTAAATGCGCTGTTTTCAGTTTATTTTATTATATCCCTTCGGCAAGTACAGAATAAAGAAAGGAATACAGTCCATCTCGGGTCTGTGATGATACTATTGAGATACTACTAAACAGCTTTCTTGCCTTTCAATTTAGAAGCTAACAGTCCTCGCTTAGAGATGGTAGCACAGCTAAGGATATACTCGGGGTATACCGATGTTTATGATCCTTTCGATGTCGATATATCGATATATCGTCATAAAACCATCGATGCCTAAACATCGATGTTCTACGTCCGATGTATCGATGTTTTCGATACATCGATGTATCGTTGCCATCCCTAGTTATGCGACTGTTTTTAGTCTTGGTACACGAGCATAATACATGAACGGAACTAAATACATGCAGGTCCACTTCATATACCCAAAGTACCTACGACAGCGGTCATTGAATCGCATTTAAAGCATCTTAATTTTGACTGGATAAGTAGAGGCGTTGCGTTACCATAATGGTAAAAAATGGGGCATCCGCGAATGTGAGCCGTGATTATGATACATTCTTGGGGTCACTGGAATCAAATCCGCAGTCCATCGAGTATGGCAATTTCTTGTTTTCTAACAATACTAAAAAAGATTCTGTCCATGTGTCCATATGTGATTCATTCAAATGTCATTTTTAATACCAAAAAAGTATAAGCAGCACAGCGCTTGTATGACATTGGTTATTGCTTGCTATTACAGTCCAGGAGAATATTCTGACTCCTTGCATATTTAAGGACCACTTTTAATGAATTTGCATGTTGCCAAGCCCAAAACTGCGTCAAAAATGGCTTAATTATTATCTAAACAAATTCCAAAAATTCCTTTTTCGCTCGGGGTAAAGGCTTTTTAGTTTTATTTTTTTGGTGATACTGATTTAAAAGAATGAACCTTTCTCTTAAGTTCATACCTTTCAAAATATAAGCGATTTATTATAACTAGACGAATAAAATATAAAATGACCTACCTACCTGAAAGATGAAGGTGCAATGGTTTGGACGTACGCCAGGTGTGTAACAGATGCTTACGGCACGGAAGGTCCCGGCATGGCTCTTTAAAGTTCTATTAGAATTTTCCTGCCCAAGCATCTTTCATGCGGCTACCTGTCTGCTACCTAAATGGGACTACAAGAACTTGCGTTGCTGGAGTAGAACTTTGAGGCCCCAACCGCTTAGTACGATGTCAAAATTTCATTAAATTGAATAATGTCGTTGAAAAGTTATCCGAAAAATTTGATTTGTAGCAGCGCTCTTAATGAGTCAGCATCTTGGTTGAGGAGCCCTGGAGCATAATTTTTAATAGGCACATAAGGAATTATTTTTTTGTTCTCTATATGCATCCAATAGATTTTCGTTATATTCCAGATCACCCTGTAAGTTACGTTACGAGTTTAAACACTTTACTGCTGTACTCACAAAAAAATTTGAGAAATGACATATTATGTATTGCTATATGACATGTACATCACAAAAACACGTCATTCATATCCGATCTGTCTGTCCGTCCGCTAATTGCTCCGTCTATAAATTGAGAAGTACCTATCGAATTTTGACACAAGGTGACTACTATGCCAAGGACGAAAAAGCATTGTGTTTTTTAAGAATTGGTCCAGGGCGGCGGAGCTACAGGAAAAAACAGAAAAAAGTCGCCCAAACTTCATTTTCACTGAGCGATAATGCCTGTATATATCGGTCCTGCGTGGCCACGTTGTTGGATATTTGGTAATTCCTGCAGGCTAGATCGCAATGTTGTCAAATCTGTGGAGAGTATGAGCGTGTAGGAAGTGCAGAGTCAACCTACGTGACGTCATTTTTGTCACATCCCTTACACCTTAGTAGTGTGGTATTATTAACAATGGCATAATAATTAGAAGCCAGCAATTCCTTATAACATTTATTATGACTTTTGTAGCATGATAGTAAACTATATAATTTTTGGTTTTATCTGAATAGAAGGTAATACAATAACACATCCTTAACTTAATACAATCCATACCGTACACCCTTTCTTTAATTTTACATACATATAAACAGTCTTTACAACATACTTAGGAACAAAATTACATCGGAAAAGGAGTCGTTGCATACATTTGATTATAGAAAAGTTGTGCGTTTTCTTGAGTAGGCAAGGAATCAGGTATTTTGCTAGTTAAGGGGATGAATTTCCATTTATTTACGTTATATTACTTGCTATGGTAATGAAACAATTAATACGTAAAGAGTTTCAACTTCTGATAGTCTTATAACCATCCATCAACATACTCCACCAGAACACTTATGCTTATGCACTATTTTCTCTGAAAGGGTTGAACATCTTCGTGAAGGAATACGTTAATAAATGATTATAACATAATACACAACTTCACAGAGCAGTATTTTGTAGTTTTTTGGATGGATGACTGGCGGTATTTATGAGTCTATGTTGTTTCTTCAATCGTCGCAATTATGAGTTCATAGGTTGAACGATTCCTCTGAAACCTTAAATCCATGTTTCATCAAATTGAGATATCTGTGCCATCTGATCACAGAAACTCTAAATAATGCTAAATCAACTCCAAAGCCGTTGTTTATTTTTCGGGCTGGTTTGAAAATCCCCTAATTCCATAATTGAGTGAAGTCCACAAACCCCTGAATCTATTTAGTCACAAAACCCGCTAAATCCATAATATCCGGATGTACCTTATATACCGTAAAAACAAAATCCACTAAATCCAACTATTGTATGTGTTTGTGAGCATTTATACATACCACGTGTTAGACATGTAGTGCATTCCACATATATTAAAATTTCATGGCCGGTTCGACCAGTCAGGGAAGACTTAATGGAAATCCAAACCTGACAAAGTTATCGGGATATCAAATAGAACTAAACAAAGTAAATCTATACGGAGCTGTTGTGCAGGAGTCGATTGCCAAAAAATTTCCGAAAAGGAAATTTTCATCCGTTTCCAAGACATTGCGGAAAGATGATCGAAGATGATGATAGCAAGGGTGGAGAAAATTAAGTAAAAGTACTATTGTGGGATAAGTGGCGTTCAGGAAGCTGAGATAGTTCAATGTGCTTTTTTCGTAATTATAATAAATAATAAAGAAGCTTTAGACTTTTATTTTTTGCTTACAAGTTGATGTCGATAGAACATAAACCTCCAAAGTTAATGTTTTTGAAGCAAAACCTCCTAAATCAGAAATCATTTCCAAATCAGCCGATTCCAAGAAAATGTCTTTTTTTTCAAAAAATTCAGATTTTATTGCCAACAAAATCTCACATTATGTTGCCATCTACCATTTTCTGCATATAAGCATAGTAATTTGTATATTTTGTGGCCAGTAACAAACTTTCGTTTCCTGAAAAATGTCCAAAAAGGGATTTAGCAGTTTTTGGAATTAGGCTATATTATCGATACTAACATTTTTCTAAAATATTTAGTGTATATTTAAAAGACTCTCTCAGCTATACGTATACAATTGAGGAGGATTGAGTCAATGGTTTTGATAGGAAACAAGAAAACCCTTAAATAACTGATTTTGACAAAGCGGACAGGTGGATTTTGTATTCACCTATAACCTCATTTTTTTAGTTAGTGAATACCAAATTGGCATTTTAGTGCACATATACAGGGTGTTCACATATTTTGTTTGGTCTGTAGTATCTCCAGTTTCGAGATTTCCCAACCTTTCGCACACACCTTGTATATCAAGAAAAAACTAATCAAGGATCCTGGTTCTGTTTTTGAAATAGCCCATTCAAGTACCCGCAGTCGAATAGTCCATGCAAAAACAACTACCTCGACTCTTATTGCAATGAACGCCAATTATACGGCATTATTTATGGAAGAATTTAGCGAATTACGTGAAACTAAGAGACCTTGTCAACTTCGACAACAATATTTTTAAACAATACCAATTTGCAACAATTGCTCAATTACTGTATGTTCATACTGGTCAGAAAATAATTAAGATGCAGAATCGAAATCATGATGTTGCCGTAACGCAATTGAAAATCAGATGGTCAGAAAGAAAGTTTGTTCTGCATTCATGCCAAGCTTTCGAAAATATTTATTTTCTCTTTCAGGACGTGCTACAAGAATACTTAAAATAATTACAACATTAATAAAATTATAGTTACAACGATGCAATTCTGTTTCAGGACTAACAAAATTATTAAAGTTGTATTATTTTACTACATATTACATCCTCTTTCCAAAATAGTGTGTTTTATTTCAAGATTCTTAATTGATAAAAAAATATACAGGGTGCGGCAAAAGTACCGGAACGGTTCTATAACTCTTTGGGAATACACACATTCTAACATGACCTTAAATTACTCTCATATTTGACTTTGACTGATCCTTCAAGGTCAAAACCAATGCTGTATAACGATAACTCTCCCGGAATGCATTTTAGAAGCAAATGCTTTAAATAAAAGTTGTAGGATTCTTCCTCAGCTTTCAGCCTTGGATTTGATCTTGATCTTTTCCTTAACGTCATTTTGATCGGGCTAATGAATCGAGCGAAAAATGTTACGATCTTGAATGACTATATAACCTTGAATAACCATTCGGGCATCTAATGCAAGGATGATAGTCCCGGCAAACTAAGGCAAGGCTAAGGGCACCGCCCATATAGTGGTAGTTCAATGTCAAACTACCACTATATGGCAGGGGCTATTAACCTTGCCTTAGTTGGCCAGGAAAATCATCCTTGCCTTAGTTGCCCGTGAATTTTTTAAGGTCAAATATGAAGATCATTCGAGGTCATATCAGAGCGTAAAATTTTTCGCTCGTTTTATTGCCAACCGCAAATTGTTTGTTGATCTTCAAATGACCTTCAATGTTAGGGCTAACATTAAACCCAAGGTCAGCTTCTGATAGCTAAGAAAAATCCTACAACTTATATGTAAAGCATTTCCCCCTAAAGTTCGTTCACAAAGAATTATTTATATCCAACGATAGTCGTAGTTTGACTTTGAGACAGAGAGCGTGAGAGATGGAGGTAAAAAATACGTGGCCGTAAAATGTTCGTTCGTTTTCTTACCGGAATCAAAAGTAGGGGTTTACATTTGAAATTTTAGAGTTGGCCTTCAAATAACCTTCCAGCTCAACATCAGGGTCACTTCCATGGTCACCGACCGATAGTTGAGGGAAAATCCTATAACTTTTATTTGAAGCATTCACCCCTAAAGTGTATTTCCAAAGAGCTCTCGAGCCATTCCGCTACCTTTGCAAAGCCCTGTATATCGTTTTTTTATGAGGTCCAATTGACCCTTGAGTAGTATAAAATATAAAATTTGTTTTGAGTAATGACCAAGAGTTGCGTAAGTATATCCAGCCAAAAAAATCTTATTTTTTTGAAATGGCAATGCAGATATACATGACCGTTAGATTTATGTATTATCTGCACAGCTGACATAATGAGAATGAGTCTCGTAGTTGGTACAGTCGATAGCGATGCATCCACTGTTCGGTAATTCGTATGAATTCAGCGGATCATTGGACGCACTACTTAAGTTTGCACTGTGGACGTTGCAGAAATGTACTACAGTATATTCAGATAAGAGATAGACCGGATGTAAACAAAAGGTTCGGGTGATTTTCACGCTAACGCCGCCGACGTAAAACAGGAGCCCTCATTGGTCAATTCGCAATTAAATGCCTATGCCGAGCGGCAGAGCAGTCGTATCAAGGCAGAGTCACATTCAGGTTCAGACGTGTTACGTATGTCGTGTGCATCATTGCAATTTGATATTTCTTTGGACGTTTTCGTTTGTTATCTTATTAAGTTGTTGAGTTTGTCGTTGTTATTGTTATACCTTGTTATTGATTGTTATTGTTATCAACTGCTTGCGCAAAATGCCCAGTAGTACAGATACTTCCGATGAAGTTGTAAACTCCTGTAGTCCACCTAGGAAACGCTCTAAAAAAAGACACCTGAGTGCAGAAATGAAAGAGGTCATTTTGAATATATATAAGATCGAGCGCGAGGAGAACGAGGCATCAACCATCAAAGAAATTGTTGTGAAGGTTTCTCACAAAGTTGGGGTGTGTCGCGTATCAGTGTTTAATGTGTTAAGACAAAACAAAAAAATCACACCTTTTCTGAGCCAATGACCAGTAAACATCGCAAAAGTATTGTTAAATCATTGGATGAAGCTGATAAGCATGCGATTAGGAGGAAAGTGCATGAATTCTTCTTTAGGAATGAAATACCTACTATAGATAAAGTACTGCAGGAGGTAAATGGAGATACAACGTTGCCAAATTTCAAACGATCAACTTTCCATGCGTTACTGAAGCATTTAAATTTCAAATGGAAAAAACGGGGTCGTAATAGTTTACTACTGGATAGAGAAGAAATTGTACTATGGAGGAGGGATTATTTAACAAAAATTGGGAAATATAGAAATCAAAACAGGAAGATTTATTACCTTGATGAAACGTGGGTAAACTCAGGACACGCTACAAGTAAAGTATGGGTTGATGATTCTGTAACTTCATCCAGGAGGGCCTTTCTAGATGGACTGTCCACCGGATTAAAAAATCCAGCAGGTAAATACGAGTAATAGACAACAATCGGATGTTTTTCAAACCTTGGGAACAAGGTTCTAAACATTAATTCCAGGGGGCAGATAAAACATATTACAAGTAACAAAACTTTTATAACTTTTGATAAAATGCGTGGATGTTTTATTGTCATTTTCATTTGTTAGAACTTTTTTAAGCCATATTTTTATGTGTTTTCGATATTTCAATAATTTTTTAATATAATCTTAAAATATGTCGAATATTATAAACTTAAAAAAAGTTACTAAGTTTTATATTGTGTACCGTTCCTAATATTTCTAATCATTTTAATTCATACTTTAAGCTTTATAAAGTTATAATTTGTTAATATTAATATTTGCGCGTATTTCAGGTTCCTGATCATTCATTTTTTGAAGGTTTATAACTTTAAATTAAATTGTGAAGCGCTGAGTAATCATACGACGTTCAATATTCTTTCTTTCAATATGACTAAATAATCCCAATTATAGCAATCTGATACTCATGTCTTAATGTTTTTTCGCTGAATGTGATGAAAACATTTGAAAAAGGTTCGCTTATTGAAATAAATCTACACCAGTTAGTACTTCGATTTCCAGGTAAAGGGAAAAGGCTCATTATCTGCCATATTGACAGTGAGGATGGATTTGTTGTTGACGGTCTGTGGTGCTTTGAGTCTAAGAAAACTGGAGATTACCACGAGGAAATGAATGGCGAATCGTTTGAACAGTGGTTTTCAAAAATTTTACCGAACTTAGAGCAAAACGTAGTAATTGTGTTGGATAATGCGCCTTATCATTCTCGAAGAATGGAGAAGGTCCCAACAACGGCTTCAAGGAAAGTTGATGTTCAAAATTGGCTCCGCTCGAAAAATATCAACTTTGTAGAAGCAATGCTGAAAGTACAATTATTAAGAATTTTCAAGGATCACAAGGCGGAATATTAAAAATACGCCATTGACGAAATGGCAGCAAGTCAAAATAAAACTGTGCTCCGTTTACCTCCATACTATTGCGAGCTCAATCCCATTGAGCTCATATGGGCAGAGGTTAAAAATTATATAGCTAAGCACAATACAACTTTTAAATTTTGTGACCTCAAAGGACTTTTCAAAGAAGCACTAGAATTAATAACAGCGCAAAAATGGGAAAACTGTATTAAGCACGTGAAAGACAAAGTTGAAAAGAGAATGTGGGAACTGGACAATATTTTCGAGGAACAAGTCGAGCCATTCATTATTGACGTTAGTGCTTCAGGCAGTAGCGATGATGAAAGCTCATCAAGCTCATCTTTCCAATAAAAGATGTCGTTCATCAAATTCGGTAAGTTATAAGTAATTATAAAGCTACGGTATTTTTTAATTAATTATTGACATTTTTGAACCCATTTTGGCAAAACCTATTCAAGAATCTACTTTCTGACAATGTTCAACCATGCACATTTTTTTACGTTTTGAACGTTTTAATTTGGTTACATATTTACCTAGAAATCAAAAAATATACTAATCAATATTCTAAAAGCAATTTTAAGAGATATACGATTATTTTTAATTTAGGCTAATTTAAACGCCATTTTGAGATTATATTCGACTGTATTTCACCAAACATCAGGAGGCATCCGAAGCTGGAAATCGAAGCGAAAATTTTGAAACCCTTATATTTACATCATTATATATTTCTTACCCCACCCCCACATGATCCTATATCCATCACCAATCGTATACACATCGAATTGTGCTAATTTACTACAAAGTTACGCAAAGCAGCATCTACTATCTAAAATATGTACTGCGTGACTCTTAATACGTCCCTGCCGAATGTTACAGCGTTCGATGATCACGTGGTCTTGTTTATGCCCGGTCTATCTCTTATCTGAATATACTGTAGATAGTATCTTATGTGTTTGTAGTTTAACACTATGCTTAGTGTCCAAATTGGGTGGTTTCGTAACGCTCCACACAAATCAGCTGCTTCAATACAGCCTACGGTTTCCAGACCCTTTTGAGTGGTGGGAGTTCAATTGCAATCAGCCCATGTACGGGTTTACATACGTGCCGGAACTTAACGAGATCACGCTTATCGATTACATATCAGATTATCTACACGAATTATGTACATATTTACATTTTACATGGGTACACTATCAACTACAGTCTAGGTTGTTGTAAAAGCAGTCGCGTTTTCCCCATTATAAATCTGACTGAAAATCTGTGCTAAATCCTAATGTTTATTTTCCATGACTGCTTAATAGTTTTGCAAGATCCACAGTTTGAAAAAGTTGAAATAAACATATGCAAGTTATTTTATATATTATGTGTATCTTAGGAAGATAGTCTCACTGATTTGAAACTGCAATTTTGAAGCATATCTGGCTATTGATAACTAGTAAATCAGTGTCATTGTCTCTACACATTGGACAGATTTTTTAGGCATAATACACATTAGTTAGTTACATTACTGGAAATTATATTTAGCTTAGAATGGCCGCTATGCGGCGTATTTTCAATTTCAAAAATTCAAACACCATTAATTTGCAAAATTGCGTAATTAACGTAGAGGAGGGGGTATAAATATGGGCTAGGTAGGGAATATGGGCTGCGTTGATATTTCCGATGCACCTAGAGTCATCTATCGAGTAATGTAACAATTATATGCGCTTTAGTGCACGTGACCGCCTGTTGATTACAGAATTCTTCTTTTCACATACACAATTCAGTTTCGTGTGATTTGGTCTTTTACAGTGTTTATAAATTTTGCAGTGGTGGTTATTTGTCTCTGTAACTAAGTAGGTTTTAGTATTTAACTTGATGTTTATAGATCACAATTGAAAATGAGGTTCATATTTTTAGATTTTGTATTTAATTATATTTAGATACAAGATATAAAATATTTGTGGAGTTTCAAACTTTTTGGAGGTTATGTGCAATATGGGCTGGTATTAAGTTTGTAGTAATATGGGCTAGCCCATATTTGTAGCAATAATAGAAATCGAGAACTTTGTTTTAGCATGCCACGCAGAAAAGTTATTGTAAGTCGCAAGTTGAGCACCAAGAAACGGAAGATGTAGACCATATGAAACGGGCTGTTCGAGCGGTAAGAGAAAAAACGATGGGAACTCTAAAGGCAGCTAAAACTAAATGGACCATCTTAGCGTAGAGGAGGCTGTTCAGATCAAATTAGGGCGAGGTACAGTTTTGACTCCAGAATTGGAAGAAGCATTAGTTCGCTATATCCTTGTAATGGAAGCCAAGTTTTATGGTTTAACCCGCAAAGACGTTAAACGTATGGCATTTTACTTGGCAAAAAAACGGCATAAGGCATCCTTTTGGGAACACACAAACAGCAGGAAGGGGCTGGTTAGATCTATTTCTGCAAAGGCACAAAATTAGAAAACCTACTGGGACATCATTTGCTCGCGCCAGAGGGTTCAACAAAGAGAGTGTGGACAACTTCTTTAAACTTTTGGAGAAAGCATATGAAGATCACAGCTTCCCAGCTAATCGCGTCTTTAATGTAGATGAGACTAGTCTGACTGTTGTGCAAAATAAAGTGGGTGAAGTGGTTGGTCGTAAGGGCAAAAAACAAATTGCATCTTTAACATCATTAGAGTCACTTTGATAACCTGCATGAATGCAGGGGGAGACTTCGTTACACCAATGCTCAGATTTCCTAGAAAAAATATGAATGTGCAACTAATGAAAGGCACTCCTCCAGGATCAATATCAGCTGTTCACTCAAGTGGATGGGTTCAGGCTGCGTTATTCGCCCAGTGGTTCAAACATTTCATTAATACGGTAAAACCGACTGCATCTTCGCCTGTTCTTCTAATTTTAGATGGACATTATAGTCATACCCGTAATCTAGAGGTTGTTATTATGGCGAGAGAAAATCATGTTTGCATAATCTCATTACCCCCTCATTCAACACATAAATTGCAACCTCTTGACAAAACTTTCATGGGTACCTTAAAATCTTACTACAGTGAGGAGATTAGACAAGGGATTCGTCATAATCATCGTCCCTTAACCCAATATGATATTGGCAAACTTTTGGGAAAGGCTTATCTCAAAAGTCAGACTGGAGAAATCGCCGTAAACGGGTTCCGCGTTACTGGAATTTTTCCGCTTAACAAGAATATTTTTTCAGAAGTGGACTTTCTTGCAGCCAAAATAGAAAAAGGAAAAAACTCTGTACCGCTGAAAATGACTTCGCTGAGAGTACACCAGGCACATCTGAATCAGATCCAGAGCCTCCTAGTCTAGACAACGTTCCACCTGGGCCATGTGGTAAATTTCAATCAGATGTAGAGCTACTCAATCGCGACTGCGCTCAACCTGGACCATCTGGAATCCAAAAAAAAATTGTGACCCCCTTTGATATTTCACCAGTTCCGACCTTAAAAAAGAAAACACCTAATAGGGGTAGAAAAGCATCACAAGCAGCGGTAATTACTTCGTCCCCTTACAAAGACGAATTATTGTTGAGCACTGCCAATAAAACTAAACAAGAGATTAAATCTATTAAGAAAAAGGTGTTTTCTCAATCAACCAAAAATACATCGTCCATAACTCCAAAGGAGAATAAAAAGCAGCGATCTTTAGGAGAATCTGAAAGTGATGACGACGAAACAGAGCTGGTGTTAGCAGATGATGACTTAGATATGGATGATATGCCTAGACAAAAGGAACCAGATGATTTAGATGCGGAATGCATCTTTTGTGAAAGCAGATTTTCCGAAGACCGCAAAGGAGAACTGTGGGTTCAATGTTTAATGTGCAATATGTGGTGTCATGTCGATTGTGCAGGTGCTGATAAGGATGATTATGTTTGTGACTTTTGTCGCACTGGATAATATCTGATGTGTTCTTGTCAAGTGCTTCTGTTTTTTTTGCTGCTCTTAAATAAAGCTCTAAGTTACTTTTTGTAGGTGTTTTTTCTAGTAGCCCTTATTTGTATCACTATCTCAATATCTGGTATGATGTTAATTTTATTTAAACATATAAAAATTCCAAACAGGTATGTGTAAAAAAATGAAAACTACCAGCATAATGTTAGATTAGGTTCAGCTTGTCCGACAAAAAAATGCTGAGCCATATAGACCAAATATGTGTCACATATGCCAATTTAATAAAATGGTAGCCCATATTTATATCCTCTCCTCTACTTGATTGTACAATTTTCGAACTTCTTTCTTAATATTATGTTTCCAAATTATGTTTCGATTAGGGTGAAGGAAATGTTGGATGTCGTTTCGGAAAAAATAGTATAATTTCTGATCACGATCTTTATTTCATTCGAATCTTGTCAAATTAGTTTGATTTGCGGCCACTGGATCGCGTTTTATGGACGTATCACTGTTTTTTTAAATTCATTTTTGAAAAATTTCAAACAAAACGGTGTACTTTTTTAATATTGGTTGGAAAGAGCATAGAAAATCCTATTACACGGCAATAACTGCAGATTAACATCTTGATTCGTCATGGAGATATAATGAAAGATAAGAGGGATGTCTTTTAAGTTTTGCATATGGAAATAAAACAACACGGTAGGTAGTTTTTAATGACTGATTGTTCTGCTTGCGCTTGAACCAATTTTCGAAGCACTTATTCCAGTCGTTTGCTGGCAGATCCAAAACGGCATTTTTGAATGCGTCAACTGCTTCTTCTGGTGACTGGAACCTTTGACCACGCAGTCTGTTTTTAATTTTCGGGAAAGTAAAGAAATCGTTAGGAGTTAGATCGGGACTATATGGAGGATGGTCCAATAATTCCACGTTTTCTTCCGTTAAATACTGCCTTGTATTTTGGGCTGTGTGCGAGCTTGCATTGTCTTGGTGGAGGATGATTCTTTTTTCGGCGTTGATTCTTCGAAGCTCGGTGATGACTTTTGGAAAACAAATGGTGGTATACCAATCCGCAGTAATAGTTCCTTGCTCATTAAGAGGAATTGTTGCAATATGACTCGCTTTTGACACAAACGTCGCGACCATCTTTTTCGAAACACTTCGAGAACGGATGACTTTTGTTGGCTTTTCTTCACCTTGGAACACCCAAACAGCCGTTTATTTTCTGCTTCATAACAGTAAATCCACGATTCATCACCACTAACAATGCTGTACACATTTTTTGAGTTTCCGTAAATAAAACGGTCAAGCGTTTTTTGACACCAATTAACCCTGGCTGCTTTCTGCTCTTCAGTCAACAGGTGGGGTATCCAACGAGAAACTAATTTTCTTACTTCTAATTCTTCATTTAAAATTGTTTGAGTTGAGGTCTTTAAGATCTTCAAGGACGCCTCAATCTCACGATATGTCACATTTCCATCTTCAATGATGAGTTTGCGCACAGCATCGACGTTTTCCTGGGTGACTGCCGTTTCTGCTGCACCCACCCTGGAATCGTCGCTAAGACTCACCCGTCCTCGTTTGAATTCTCCATACCAACGGGAAATTGTCGACTGATGTGGCGCTTCGTTGCCGAAAACAGACAGTAACTCAGCAAGGCATTCTTGTTGCGATAATAGTCTCTGAAAGTTGTAATAAATTATGTTCTCGGTTGAGTTCCATTTTTCTAATGACTTGATGAGACTTAAAAATTCACTGTAGTGAGAACACTGCACGTATTGTTGTAAAACTTTGAAGTTTACTAAAGAGTGAGGTTAAGATTCAGTACTGACGTTCGATCCGCGCGGCCTTCTATGTTTCTACGTATATATGCAAAACTTAAAAGACATCCCTCGTATGCTTAAATTACAATTTTCAAGTATTACTGGATAAAAAGCAAAATTCAAGCTAAAATAGCTAGGTAAAATGCATAAATATATTGCGATTTCAAGATATTTTTATTAATAAATCTGTTTTCACGTTTTTTATAATCGGTAGGGGTCGTTAGTGTCGCCTGATATATGAAAAAAGACGCTCTAATTATACACTGTAGTTCATAATTTAACAACTTTAATATGAAAATGAAATACTGTGCTTTATCCACTTGTCTTATTTAGATCTTTTAAGGGTGCAAATTTTGTTATACAGGGTGTTTCTATGGGATCAAACTTGTAGTGGTTATTCAGTGCAACAGTAGAAAACATTTGAGTAAAGGGACCCATATCCGGCGCTTGTGTGTTGTTATCTTTAACAACGATAACAGAGATTGTTTTTTGTAGCTGCATTCCATATCGCCTTAGTCGTGCTATCGTATTTGTGAAGTTTGCAAGAATTTAACAAAAATTAATTGTTGCTAATGGAAAACTTTACCAATCAAGAATTGGTAGATATGCATTTGGCATACGGAGCAACAAGCTGCAATGCACGAGCAGCAGCGCGGTTGTATCAAGAACGTTATCCCGAACGACAACATCCGGGATACAAAAGGTTATAGCTATTCATCGGCGGTTTTCCCAGACAGGCTTGTTTAAAACCAACATGCATGATACTGGTGTTGCTCGAACCGTAAGAGCGGTCGAATTTGAAGAAGAGGTCCGAGTTGCCGACGAACCATCAAGTAGCGCACGTCACATTGCTGAGGATAAAAACACGGGTAACGTTTCCGTCTGGCGGGTGCTACACGAGCATCAACTTTATCCTTATAACTTCCAGGAAGTTCAAGGATTGACTGCAGCCGATTATCGTTGGGTTCCCAGAGGTGGAGCAGTTCTTGGCCTCCTAGGCCACCCGATTTAACGTCGCTAGATTCTTTCCTGTGGGGACATGTAAGGTCTTTGGTTTACGAAACTCCAGTAGATACAGAGCAAAATTTAATTGGACAAATTACAGCAGCATTTGAAACCATTCAAAACGAGTATCAAATTTTTAGTCAAGTCCGCCAAAATCACGTGCGACGTTTAAATCGGTGTACTTAGGTTGGAGGAAGGCATTTTGAACAATTGTTGTGATGATATCATATACAAAAGGCAGTTATTAAATGCATTAAATCCTATTTAGGCAATTCGTCGTCTTTCTAAATTTTAACGCGTCTTAGGGCCGTAGTACCCTAGTGACACTTTTCCGGATATGAGTCCCTATACTCAAATGTTTTCTACTGTTACACTGAATAACGCCTATAAGTTTGATCCCTTAGTTCTGAAGCACCCTGTATAATTGTAATATTATAGCCGCTATTTCGTTAGAAAAAGCGTAATAATAAAATTTAGCGTGCCGTGTCATGACATTCTCGGACAGAAACAAACAAATAACGTGCGCTTTCAAATTTTCACTTCTACGTAGAAGATGTGTGCGATCCTAAAAAGAACCTATTTGATTTTCCGGCGATTTGGAGTACAAGTTATTGCTGCCTGGTCAGGTGCTTTTAGTAAAGAAATATGAGCTGTGAGTGACAATAACAGGAATAGTTGTTGTAGATACGGCTTTCACGCTCAGTAACGTGTGCACACAACTTTTATGGAAAAGTAATGTTAAATTTTACATTTTCTTGATTTAGTATTTTGACTAAATTATTTAACCTCGGAAACAAGCTAGCCTTAAGTGTTACAGGTACTACCTAATCGCCTGAAGTAGGCATGTCTGTTGTCAAAAAAATGTTCAGTCCTTCAAAGCGTCAAACGAGCATGAGGTTACCTGTCGTTTTTTAATGTACCAGACTGCTGGTTATTATAGTAACATACTGTACAGGAATGTGAAATGAAAGAAAAACAACGACGAAGTGTTCCTGGAAGACAGATAACAAAATATATTGCCATCAGGATTGTCAATTGTACTTGTAGGTACAGGATTTTCAGCCGGAAAATCACAGGATAATTTTAGGTGTCACACAGGGAAAGAGGGTCTCAAAATATATTCCAAAAATAATATTATAAGTGGCAAAGTGGCAGTAAAGACATTCTGGAGATGCGGCGTATATTATCCGTTAGATATATCCATCTGGAGGTTTTCAGATCCTCTCCATCCCATATGACGTACATTTTTTATACCACCATCGTTTTTGTTGTGAATAGAAGGCACGGTTACGTCGTTTAGAATGGGGGTATTTTTCATTTATAACATCCTTCCTTTTTATTAGGGATTTAAAGCTTTCATTCGGGCTTATCCCATTCAGTCATGTTCCTGGATACTCTAACCATGAAGGGGACTCCTGGATTTTTTTATGGACGCGCCCGGATGTCCAAATCGATATTTATTGGATGTATTTCACTGTCACGTTGAGTGAATACTTGATGAGATGGGTTTGACGAGGGAATACAGTGCCTTATATTAAAATCGGGACGTAATCTGATAGACATGAAATAAAAAAATATGCCAAAATGCCAGAAAAACTTGGGGAAGATTGCTTTGATTCGGATAGATCAAAAATAGCGCTATTCGACATTACAATTTTCAGTTAAAATGAGCCAGCCTTAGATACCCTGGTTATAAGAAATGGTGAATGTGTATACTTCTTTGATGACAGGCTCAGGCACCATAAGTAGAAGAGTGATCAGCAAAAACAGAAAGAACATGTGGAAGTGAATGAAGTAAGTCACAATACAATTGAATTAATAATTCCGACTCATTTGTAGGACAAAATACTAATAGGTGAATAAACAATGCGCTGTAAATTTCAAGAGTGTTTTTTTATCTGTTTTTCCAAAGGATCTTCTCAAGAGTGTTCAGTATTGGAATGGTTAAGATATACTCGTTACGAAGATGACCCACAACAAAAAAAGTCAAGACCCGTGATACAGACCATGACATTTTTATCTAATTTTCGACGCTGAATCTGAATCCAGGATCTAAAAAGATTCTAGATGTCTAGAATTTACTCTTGAGCCCACAAATTATCCCTAGGAGTGGAGAAAGATTCGGGTGCCAGATGCTGGATTCCCACGTATTTTTCGACAAATCCGAATTTGTTGACAACAAAGTTTTTCACAAACTAATATATAAGCATTTTTCCATGTTTCAACATAAACACTTAAACATTTGTCAAGCTTTGGCATAAGTGCGGATCGTTAAACCATTCAGTAACTGCTTCTTCCAACATGTCACCATTTTCCAAGAGCTTTCCACCAAGAAATTCCTCAAGTCTTCAAAAAGATGAAACTGAATGTGATAAGTCATCTGTGGTCTTGCAGCAATGTGAGGTTGAGCATTGTCATGAAGTAGCACGGCGAGACTAGAGAACAGGCATCGTAGACGTTATGAATAGCAGATAAGCGTACATAATTCAACAAGCTGTTCGTAAATTTCAGCAGCAGGGCCTTTTTTGTCATTAAAAACCGAATTATTGACCGCACTTGCCAATTGTGAGCGTGTCTGAGGTTGAACGGACCTCACGTGTCAGGTTGCAGTCTGTTCTTACTTAAAAAAGCAATACTGTTTTTGATATCCTCTATTAAGCAGTCATGGTATAATGATTGTTTCATTAAGTACTTAGATCTATTTTAAAAATATTTACAAAGCTTGCCTTGATATCTGCGAAAATATTATCCGTCTTTACAGAATGAAATCTGCACGATTTCATACATTAAAATAAAAATTCAAACACTGGAATGTAGTGGCATGCATTTTGCTTAGACTAGGTCATTTACAATATAGAAAATTTCTCACATAGTATAAGTAGTAAAAGCTCTTAGAGTATCACGGAGGTCGTTGAGGATCTACAGGTCCCTGAAAAAAAAAAAAAGGTGATCAAACAGCTATTTTTTCATCCTAAAGCAGTTGAGAAGGCCGCGAATAAATACTCATGTACCGTGCTTGATATAAGGTTTAGGACAAGAGTTTTATCACAATCGATACATGCATTTAATAACATTGTATAACTGACAAATCGTCGCTGGCAAGACAAAGAGGCGTAACTCCAATTCAGCTATTTTACAGGAGACGCGCTTTACGCCCGTTTATCCTTTTAGCACTAGTAAAAATAGGAGATCTGTCCACATACTGATTTGCCATATTACGTTAACTATAAGGAGGAGCGATTCGCCACTTCATCATATTATAGATATACTTTTAGAGAATTCTGGTGGGGTATTTTCCGACTTACGCCCCTTTGTCTTTCCAGCGACTAAATGAGAACTTTTATATATCTGTCATACTAATGGGGCATTCACTATATGTGCTATTGTAAAAGTTACTTATTAATATCATACTTAAACATTAGGTAATTACAATATGAGCAAAATGTTCTTTTTGGTGAAATACGCAATGTTGTTCCTTGCAACGTCAGCAACATTTATTAAACGAAAAGTCAAATAGATTTTCAGCATTGAAATTTAATGCTACTATGGTCAAAATGACGAAATGCTCGCAAAAACGGAAATCTAGGCATTAGGAAGCGTTATTATAAAATTGTTTTTTTTTTATATCGAAGCAGCCTCGCACGCAATAGCCAAAATACCAGGGCACCGCGGCTGCTAAGAGGAGCTTGAAGAAACCTTGCTGATTCAATTTTTGAACTGCCTCAGGTAGATTGTTCTGTTGACGTAGCGGCAGAAGAGATCTAGATCGCAAACGGACCTGCGAAAGGGCCCCGAAACTGTCCGTTAGAGAACAGTCATCGATCAGTCGCAGCACCCTCCTCAGGACAGCATCGAGTATAGATAGTGTAATCGGGGCGACAGCACCCCAAACATGTGAGCAATACTAGAGTCCAGGTCATATCTGGGCCTTTTACAGAGTGAGGAGGTCATGTGAAGAAAAATACTTCTTAGCCCTAAGCAAATACGAGACCCTTCCCACTTCAGTTGGCCCACTTCAAGATTTGTACCAAATTATGCCTTTATAAACTAAACATGAAGAAACTATTTACTTCTAAAACAATTTATTTTCTCAAAAACATGTTAGATACACTCTAGTCGTAAAAAATACATATCTGAAATCACTTAGACCTATAAATAGTAGAACATCTGAACAAATAAACAATTTGCGAATAAATGCGCGAAGTTAACAAAGGAACAATTGAAAGATTACCATTGGGTAACATCACCTTTATTTTTTATTACGGCTGAAATTCTTTGGGGCATTGTGTTAACCAAGTTTTGGCAAAAATTTTGAGCTTTTGTTTCAGTTCGGTGATTGTACGAGCAGGATGTTGTCGTAGAACCTTTTTCATCTCGTGCCACAAAGTTTCAATAGGTGACAGATCTGGACTGCTAGAAGTGGTACATTATTTTCTTCCATCCATTTTATAGCCTTTTTTGAGGTACGACACGCTGCACCATCTTGCTGAAACACAAAATCTTGGCCGGATGTCAAACATCCTTCCATCACTGGTAAAAGCGATTCTTCTAAAATTGCCAAATATTTGTTTGTATCCACATTTCCATCAACAAAATGAAGTTTTCCTACTCCTTTTGATGACATACTGCCCCAAACCATAATGGATGCTGGAAATTTCACTTTTCTCTTCAGATAGTCAACATGGAATGCTTCATTTTTTTGCGAATAACTCTATTGCGACTGTCACCAACACAAACTTCGAATCCGGCCTCATCACTCCATTGTATTGCACACCATTGTTGAGGTGTCCACTGTCTATGTTCTTCAGCCCATCTAAGCCGATTTTTCTTTTGCAGTGGAGTTAATAGTGGCTTTTCTTTGGCCTATAAACAAGTTGTGCAACTTTAGGGTTTTTACTTCACTTTTTTTTATAAGTAAACTTACCTTGCAAGGACTAAATCCCAGTTTGTGGGCCTCTCTATGAGTTGTGGACCTCGAAATTCTCCTTCCAACAGCGTCACTCCACAGAGCACTTAATTGTAAATAATTGGCACGCCTGTTTTTCACGATTATTCTTCTTAATGCTCTTCGGTCGGCATTTGTGATATTACTTTTTTCACATATCGAGGCTTAATATTAACTGAACCAGTTACCTTATATCTTCTAACAATATTTCTCACACTGTACCGCGATAAGTTTAACAAAGTTGCAATTTCTGAGTTTGATTTCCCAGAATTAAAAAATTTAATTATCAGTAACCGAACTAATAACTATTTTAAACGTATTCTGACAGCTGTGATTAGTAAAAACAATTGTCATGGGTCATGGCAAATTTGATTAGGGAGTGATAAAGTTGGTGTTTTCTACTATATATTATCAAAATATTCATTGTTAATATTTTAAACCTATAACACCTTGCTACATTTTTATTATTTGTGTTTGATAAGAAAAAAACTAAGATTTCAATAGTTGGGCCAACTGAAGTGGGAAGGGGCTCGTAGCTTAGTTTCTTCTTAGTAGCTACCGGTATTGACGAGATGTGTTCATGTCAGATCAATTTTTTGATGATCTGGACGACCAGCCGAAATGAACCGTTTTAGGTACATTACTGCGGGGCATTAAAGCGTACCAGATTGTTGTGTCCCCAAGCAGTGATAACCTCTAGGTCTTTCATCAGAGAGGAAGTTGCTGCTAGTCTCTTTGGAATTACTGCATGTTGTCATCAGCAAAGCTGTGGATCGGATTGATAGTACAGGAAAGTAGGGCATAGATATGTAAGAGGGACAATGGCGGAGCCAAGACAGATCCCTGGGGAACACCCGTGTTGACATTGAGGGATGAAGAGAAGAGCCCGTTGATTACGAAGGATATGTTGCGGCTCGAGATGAAGTCAGCGATCAATGCAAATCTTCTTTAAGGGGACATGACGTGGAAGTTTGAATAAGAATACAGCATGCCACAGCGATCGAATTCTTTCGTGTAATCAAGAGCAACGACATGAACCTCATCATAATACTGGATGAGTTTACTCCACGGTTGCGTGACGCGGGTGCCGGAAACTGCCAGAAGCTCCAGTTTCAGCAATATGCACAAAAGTGTACGAACGTGTGATATTTTGACCGTAACACCGAATTGCAGCTGGTGCGATAAATATTGAAAATTGCGAGCAAGAACATTGCAACTGCATTCGCCGGATATTTTATGAGCAAAATCACTGTAACGTACTTTACACTGCGTTAGGAAGTATCTTTCTTCATGCAAAAATATCGTTTTAGTATCTGATAAGATGTGCTAGACTAGTATGGTTTTCTGCAGTACCAGGATTGAATAACGAAGAGAAATAAATAAGAGCGCCGGATTTGAATTTGCTGCCATTTTTTTTACACATGGTGTTGTGTTTACTTGATGACAGATGTCAAGCCCAGACCACGTGATTAGACGTCATGGAGCAGTATTCAAACGATCAACGTTAAATGATTGTGAAAACTCACTACAAAAATGGAGAAAATTATGCGTAAACAGTTCTCAAATCACGTACAATTTTCGGTTGCAATAATGTGGCAAATGAGTCGACAGTTCGCCGTTTGATTTCAAAATTTGAGACAATATTCACGTTGCTGTCCTGGTCGGTTCCTGGAAAGTATAGTCGCAGTGCGGGAAAGCGTGGCCGAGAATCCAGGCACTTCCGTTCGGCATCGTGGCCAAGAATTGAACCTTACCAGACCCACTCTGCAAATTAATGCGGATTTCTCGAAGAAAATCATTTTCTTTGATGAGTGGCGGAGTGACTGAACCGTATTTCTTCGAAAATGTAGCTGGAACTGCGGTAACTGTTAATTTTGTGCGATATCGCTAAATGTTAACCGAGTTTTCGTGGCCCCAGTTGGATCGAATTGATGTGGAACATATGTTATTCCAACAAGTCGGTGCAACCTGCCACACAGCACGCGAAACAATCGTGTTACTGAGGACCAAGTTTCCAGTCCGCGTCATCTCTCGGTTTGGTGATCAACATTGGCCACCAAGATCGTGCGATCTAACGCCAATAAACTCCTTCCTCTGGGGCTATGTGAAGGAAAACGTTATACAGAATTTTAAGAAAACACTGACCCTGTGCCAGAGGGTTCGTGGTGGCTATTTACCGGATGCCCTATTGCATGTTTAAACGCAACTATCCCTTTTCATGTTGAAATATAAACACTCGCTTAATTCAAAAAGAAATTGTGTTTTTACCGAAAATCAAATCCGGTGATTTTATCGAGACACCCTTTATCACCCATGACAAGATACATCAATATAACACACGTAATTTAAATAATCTTGTTTTGCCACAACTAAGGCTCCAGAAATCAAGATTCGGGCCCAACTACTTTGGCATCGAGTTCTTAAGCACCCTACCGTTTTATATTAGCCAGTTCGGTAATAGTGCCGTCAAGAATATAATGAAGAAGAAGTAACTAACTGAAAAAAACTTTTTACACATTTGATGAATTTCTAAGGCCCGTATCGTCAGTCGTCCCTACAATTGTAGGGCGCGTTTATGGCCTCCTTGATTGTCATAGTTTTCTACTTCGCCGTGTCAGCGCTCTATTTTGAGGTTATGTCACAAACATCTATTTGCATCAAATTGTGCTTGCTTTTGAGTTTTATTATGTTTTATCAATTTCCTGCAATTTAAAAGGAAAACATATCTTAACAATAGGAGAGCGCTGACGCTGACACGGGACGAGTGTAATCTAGAAATTTTTGAAGGAGAGAAAAGAGTATGACAATCAAGGAGGCCATAAACGCGGCCTACAATTGCAAATAATGTATTTTCAGATCTAATACTCCGATCATAATACACTTTATTTTACCCAATATGTCTGTTCCTTATTTTATTTACCTTAGGTGTCTGTATACCATATATACTCTTTTTGTACTTTTCGACATGTTTCCCAATGTGATCAAACATCTTCTTTATTCAACTGTTCGTGTTATACTAGTGTTTTTGTTATTTACATAGCAGTCACGAACTAGTTTAACTTTTTACTTAGCCAGGCCTAGGACTGACATACTTAAGTTTTCCCCTATATATATATAATGTGCCGTAATTATAATTCAGTTAATAGCGTTTTAGATATATTTTCGTTTTGTGCGTCTTTGGGAGACATTAATGCTTATTTTCGTTAATGCTTGCTGGTGTGATTGTTGAGTGCTGGTAGGTAAAGCTAGAACGCTTTTTTTTCCTCCCAGTTCTGTTTTGAGGTTTTTTTTTGCAGCGTTTTAGCTTTCTCTACATACATCCACAACATGCATTTGTTTATAATTTCATGTTTATCCATCTTGTAATTGGCTATGGCTGTTGGATGTTGCTAAATAAAATTAAGTGTGCTTATACTTTATTTCTATTTTGGTTTTTCTGGGCTTGCGTGTGGCACTCTTATTCGTTATCTACAGGGTGTTCAACAACTAATCCGACAAATTTTAACTACATATGCACTGTTACGAAGAAGTTGATTTTAAAAAAATGTAATAAAAGTCCTACAGACATCGAGATAATAAAATAATACAGTTTCACAGTTCACTTACTTATAAAAGCTGTTCAAACTTGTTTCCATTGACTGCAATGCAAGCTTGGGCGCATCTAATGCAATTCCGGCGTACTAATTCAAACACACCTCCTCCCTGCTGTGCCCGAAGGCTCAAATTATCGGAAGCCACTGTGATTCGGTCACGCAATCCTTCAATATTCTGAATTGGAGTACGATATACCTCGTTTTTCAAATATCCCCATAAAAAGAAGTCCAGAGGATTTAGATCGGGAGACCGTGGAGGCAACTGGTCCACTCTTTCCGATCCAGCGTATCTGGTATACCTGATTCAAAAAATCACGAATTTCAAAACGAAAATGCGGAGGTGCCCCATCGTGCAAAAACCACATCCGTGCTCGGACCGCCAAAGGCACATCTTCAAGAAGGACCGGCAAATCATTCCGAAGAAATTCCAAATACAGTTGACCATCCATCCGGTCTGGCAATATGAACGGTCCAATTAGACGTTTATCGACAATACCTGCCCACGCGCTAACAGAAAAACTATGTTGGAAGTGTGTCTGGACCACTGCGTGAGGATGCTCAAAGGACCAAAACGTGTGTATTTTAAGGATTGGTTATCCCATTACGAGTAAAATAGCTCCATCGGTGGCCAAAATATCAGCTATAAAACGGGCATTTTCTTGCCACAACCACTCACAAAGTCTTACTCTTAGGGGTTAGTCTGTAGGTAGCAACGCCTGGACTCTCTGGACGTGATAAGGGTACAGTTGGGCCCCATGTAATATGCGCCACGCTGTTGCATGTGATACTTCTGGGACCTGTTGGGCTAACTGCCTTGTGCTTATTCCCGGATTTTCTTCCACAATATCCAAAATTTCATCTTCGGCATTTAAAGCGCGTTGTGGGAGAACCCGACCCCCATCCACTCCACGTCTGGGGCGCAAATCTCCACTAGCACGTGCACATAAAACAACTGAATTAAATGTTTCGTGGCGTGGTATGTGCTTATTCTTTTTTTTTTATATCGAAACAGCCGCGCAGGCAGAAGCCTAAATGCCGGAACACCGCGGCTGCTATGATGATCCCAAAGAAATTTTGTTAATACGATTTTTGAACTGCCTA